CTCCGATCGAGAAAGACACACACAAGGGGGAGTACCCCCCGACTGTTATCTGACAGATTAAGTTAGGATTCAGAAGATACTGGATTGTCAAATGAATGCAACTCAACAATGCAATCCTCACTGCCAGCAGCAGTGGTCTTGGTCTCCTCTTGGGCTTTCTCGGGAATTTTCGGCTTAGTCCCGTTTCGTCTTTTTCGGTACAATTCAAATAAGACCTCGGGTGCGTGCTCTTTGATGTATTTCCAATTCTGACGGATAACCTATTAAGAGTGAAATAAAGTAAAAAATAATTACCATTCTATTATTCAAAATAAGCCAGCAGACTTTTTTCATTGTCACACGAATATTCCATGTCATTGGGAGAATTTTGGATAGGTTGAACCATGAGAAAAACATGGAGGGGAAAAGATGGCTGGGAATGAAAAGGATTCATGTAGATTGCCTAGAGAGGACTATTCGATTGTGGAAAAACAACTTAAGCGACCTATTTCAAGCTGGAAATTTATAAATAATTTTACCACAATAAGGAAGACTATCATCACTGCACAGATAGTCATCGCTGCAACCACAATCAAGCTCACTGTCAATATGCTCTTCTGATTGTCTTTATCCTTCTTGATACTCTCGGTATCAGTCTCTTTGAGTTCTTTTTTCCGTTTGGCATCAGGGAACGTCTTTCCATACGTGTCACTTTTTGTAAACGCTGAAAGTGTGTCTTGCAAATCTTTTCTTGTCGCGTTGAACGCTGACGAGACCAAAAGAAAGTACTCCACCTTGGCTGAGGTCCATCGGTCATTTGCTTTAGCGAGCGACACGACCTCAAAATCCACGACGTTGTCTGTATCTTGGTAGAAGTCATTAAGAGCATCTTCTATCGCTTTTGTTATGTTTCTGTACTCAGACCTGTTGTGATCAGCAAAGGGATCCTTCCATTCCACACCCGGCAGCAGAAGGCTCATGTTCAGCCGACGGTACGAGATCAACGCTTTTTCCATGCCAATTTCGAGGGAATGGTTAAGCTTCTCTTCGACACTTTCTTTTCCAACGTCGGACTCAAACTCGAATTTGCAAAACGTTCCACGTTCTCCGTGAATCTTCAGAAATGTTTCTACTTTAATATCAGTGACACCCTTGACGTTTTTAAGATCCTTGTTCAGCAGACTTCTCACAGCCAAGGACATTGTTTTATACTGCATGGATTTCTTGTTCAGGATCGTTTTGTTCCACGTGACCTGTGTTCCATTGCATTCCACTTCAATTGTAATGCTGTGTTTTTCTGCAGTTTAGTGAAAGAGATCGTAAAAGATATATCTTTTTTGTAGTATCTTTGTTTTTATACCTACTCTTTTTATTTAACTTCCTGATTTCTGTAAACCT